AGTTTATTAACGTGTCTATCTGATCCTGTCTCCACGATAACTTCTCATTTTTCTTATTTTTATATTTGAAATAGCTTATTTAAATAATTTTTATTATTTATTTTTTTGAATGATTTTATAAAGCTATAGAATGATTTTTTTAAAAACAAAAGACATAATTCGGTCGTGTTATGAAAATTTATAGCGAGTATATTTTTACATTTTAGAGAGAATTATATAATAATATAATGTTGTAATGTAACGAACTCATTATATAAAGATAATAATAATAATAATAATAATAATATTAAACAGTAATAAATAAATTAAAAATAATAATTGATCAAATACTATATGAAAATTGTAATTGAATAATTATGCATGAAAAAATAATATACATATACATGAAAATTGTAATTAAGCATGAAGTTGTTTTTTTTAATAACACAAATGCATACTTTATTACGAGAAAATTTTATCGTATACAAATACAATTTGTACAACAGTCTACACAATATAGTGTCTTCGAAAAAATTTGATTTAATTTTTTAATAAACTTAATTTGATTAATTATATTTATGGGAAGGAGATCCAACTAATCTATCCTAACCTAATCTAATCTAACCTGCAATTTCAACTTACTGAGGGCAGTCATATTCCTGATTGGAAACCGACGCATGCGCACTAAAAATTGCAGACAAAGTTGGAGTAAAAAGTTCAGTGTCCATACTGTATGTACTTATACTATGCCTGAACTCTGTCTGGGGGAAATAAATGTTAACGATCGTTACTGTTGGCGGCGCAGGATTCGAGGGTCGACGGGAGACCGTTTGAAAGAGATACGTTGCGTTGCAAATAAATTTTCGCGATGAGCCGATGTGAAGTGTGCAAGTTGTGAAAAGGATTGATGTCAATTGAGTGATACGACGAAAGTGTCGCAGATTGCAGGGCCGGTTCAACCGGCAACATCATGTTTCGTTCGAAGAAAGACGTTGATCGCCACGTGCAGAATGTGTTTTGCAAGTTGCGAAACGAGAACGAGGTAAGGTTACCGTTGCATTCGGAAATTCTCTTTTTTCCTCCCGACATTCACAGCTTCATGTTTTCTTGTCTCTATTTGCAAATTGTAACCAATATTAATACCAATGAGAATAGGTACTTTCGATATGTTTCGATACACCAAGCAACGACTGCTCAGCCGCCCAAATATTCTAGTTTACACCGAGCACTTAATAGTAGTACCTTCTATTAAATTATTTTAATTTCGGCAATACAGTTAAAGAATGGTGTACTAACCTATAGTACGCCATATGTATCTAGATTATTAAAATATCCATATCATATATACATTTACACATGCATTGCCGTAATTAAAATAACTTAATGGAAAGTTATTAGTTAATACGCGTATTAAATGCTCGATGTAATAAGCAATGTCAGCGGACGGAAATCTTTGAGTGATTCCAGACGAGAGCGCAATGTATTTACCAATCATGGCAAATTTTCGCGGGAAACTATTCTTGTATTATCGATATCTTAACGAAATTTTTTCTTTGAATTCTTATAATTTTTCATAATTTTTTAATTAAAATTTCAGAATTTCCGTTTTTTATATGACTGCAACTTTTTAGAAAATCTTAGAATACTTGTCAAAATGCTGATTAAGTGTGTACGTACATCTTGTCTAGAATTCTTTATTTAATTTTGAAAATTCTAGATTTCTCTATAATTTCCGAAAAAAACTTATAGAATCTGAACAAGTCTAAGATATTTTTCAAAAAACTTCACAACAGTAAAATGAATGTAAACGAACATGAATGTATGAAAATGTATTAATTATAACATAATAAAGTATTAAATGTAACATAGTATTAAATGATGAGTATATTTTTTGATGTGTTTTAAATTAACGATATCATATTGAAAAATCCTTAAAAATATTGATATGTAATACCAAAATATGAAAATTTTTTCTGCAGGATATAATGAATTCAGATATTTTATTCAGTTGACTGCAGTCTTATTCATTCATGTTTATATGATATGATTGTTAGGTGCAAACTCGTCCTCTAGATGTTTGCTTTAATATTTTACATAGCATCCTTAATTGGATTAATTGGATGAATTTAATATATTTTCATATACAAGTAATCTAAACTAGCCAATCACAGTTGTTCCATTCTTCTAAGGAACAATTATGATTGGCCAATTTCATAACTATGGACGTTATTACTCATATGCCATGTAAATGTAATCAATTGCCATTTTTTAAACTAAATTTTTGTTGCAATGAAAAAAATTATAACATACAATTCAAAATATATTCGGAGTATATATATCTAATATAAATTTGTCTTATTTCTCTTTTCTATCAATTTATTTAATGTAAGTGGAATAAAGATATAAAAAATTATACTTAACAAAGTATTTAATTTATTAATAATTTTGATCATCTTTCTAATAATCTTTATATAATAGGATTTATATAATGGGATCATCTAGATTACCTGTATATATAAAAATCTATTAATTGTAACGTAATTTAGTATTAAATGATGAGTATACATTTTTAAATGTATTTTAAATTAAGGATATCATAAACATGTTTATATTTTGTACTTGAGTTTGGATTTTGAATAGAATCTAATACTCGTTGGTATCTGATTCTTGTTACAGAAAAATCTTCGTTGTTACAATGTTGCCAAATTGTATTATCAAGTAGGTGATTATGAGTCCACAAAAAGATATGTATTTAATTACTTAGAGATACGAGATAGTTCTGCCAGTGCACATAAATTATTGGGTCAAGCTTATGAAGCGCTTGGCCAAAAGGAAGCAGCTTTTAATGAGTATAAAATTTCTCTTGAACTCGAAGGGAGGCAAGATGATCTGGTCTTGAAAAGTAAAAAGCTGACACTTTTATCTTTTATTATCCTTTCAATACTTTATATGTGTAACATTTAAATTTTCTTTTTTTTGCTAAATTTGCTTTTTTTTTTAGTATGCGAATTATTGGTTGACATGGACATAGGAATGGATGTTACTAAACTGAAGTATTGGATAGAGAGAGCTGATAAATTATTTCCACATAATCCAATAATTTTTCAATTAAAAGAAAAACTTTTGACTATAGAAAAACCAAACAACAGCAGTGAGGATCTTGAGGCACTTATTGCATGTAAGTAATTATTATTATGAAATAGAATAATTAAAGAACGGAGAATTAACAGATGAAATTTTTTCTAGCTGAATTGGCCGCAAGACCGACTGATGTACAACTTCGTATCAAATTGTTAAATTATTACATGTCGGAGCATAGATTGGATAAAGCTTATGAACATGCCATCAGTGTAGAGGCCACTGTCCCTCATAAGGACAACGTTGTGTGGTATCAGCTGCTGTACGAATTATTAACAAAATATAAAGAGACTAAATCTCTTGACTGGTCTTTTTGGTTGTTCTATATATCTGTATCTGATAAATATGTGAGACTATGTCTTAAGGAACAAGGAGGTCAAACAAAGAAAAGCATTCAAGAGGCAGCTCAGGCAGTATTTAAGTAAGTATATCAATATGTTATTATAAACTAAATTGTATTTTATAATGTGGCAATAGATGAAACAGTGATAAAACTGTAGCTCTTCGAATAATATCTGTAGAATATACCTTACATATTTTAGAAATAAAGTAATTGTGTTTATCTGTTTCATATGTTTATTTTTATAATATATTTATGAAACAAATATGATATGATACAGTTTTGACCAAAATCTGAACGAGATGAAGTCAAAAAATTTTTCTAAACAACACACTTTTACGGAACACTTGTTTACGCACATGTGGGGCCAGTTGCACTTCCACTTGGCGTGTTTGCTATTACGCAAAACGAAACGCGAGCAAGGCAGTTGGAATGAAGCAGGAAGACTGTGCTCACCGCTGTTATTAACTGCATTACACGTGGCCCCATTGGAAAACCGTATACGCATACAATTAGAGGATGAATTTAAGAATCAATTCAATATGTGGGCAATGGAGGCAGCATATCGATGTTGCCAAGCTGGTACGTGAGACGAATTATCTTGTAACGGGATATTTATTAAGAGAAACATGGAATTTTCAGCAGATCTTTTTTTATTCTTAAGATTTTTGTATCGCAAACATTATTTAAAAATGACTTCTTAAGATTTGTTTGAAACTTTTACTATTTGAAAATAATGATATTCTCTATAAATACGCATAATTTTGAGGGGGTAATCAGACAAATATTAATTATAAAGCTTTAGAAAAATTGCAATCTTCCTAAGGCTTTATAATTAGTATTTGCCTTGTTGTCTTGGTTATCCTCTATTTTTTTCGGTTTTTGAGTGATTCGTATATTTATCGTATATTTATCTATAGCCGCTTAGATTTTGAACGAATTTTTAAATACCGCTTTTTGCGCTATAATTGAAAATATACTGTCGCTCCTTGTATAGCATATGTTAAAAGTACTAACTTCAAATGTAATTATCTTTTGAACATGCTTGGTTACTTCCTTAAAATTATGCATATGTACCGAGAATATCATTATCTTCAAATAGTAAAAGTTTTAAACAGGTCTTAAGAAAAGTGATTTTGCGAGTAAATCACTTAAATCACTCTTAAAAGCAGTGATATTCATAAAATTTTATTGATATTTGTTTAGAAAAAATTTTATTTTTAAATTTAAATTTTATCTTTTTTGGAAAACTTTTTTTTATTTGTTCTTAATAATGTAAAATGCCCAGTAAGAAATGGCATCCATGTGTATTTATATAAATTCTTATGTTTATGCGTTTTTATTAAAAAAAAATCAGGGTGGTGATAGAAGATAATCTTCAGTATTCTCAGCAGAAAAGAGTAGTTCATAGTCATTGGATACTGTACCGTAATGAGCCTCTTTATTATATTATTCTGTATTTTTATGACTCCAATTGTAGAAAATGATTGATATAGTTTCGTGGAATTCCTTTTTCATTAATTTATAATATAAATATATAGAGTGGGTCCCATTTTAATGTCTCACCTCAGATAACTTTTTTATTTTTGATCTTGGAAAAAAATATTTCAGACAAAAGTTATATTGATTTGAGGGGAATATAAGATGGTGTCATTAGTTTGATTTTAAATAGTTGCTTAAAAGTCATATGAAGATTATTTATGCACGCTCACCTATAATGCATACTAACTCTTTATACATATCGGTTATTGCGAGGAATATTGCTGAGGTCTCGATAATCTAAAGGCTTAAGACGTTCGCACGGAATGCAAGAAATCCGGATTTGATTCTCGGCCGAAGCAATATTTTTTGCAATAAGTTTATTACAGTTTTTTAAGATTAAATTTGGGAAATTTGGGGGGATTATTAATATTTTAGATTGATTGCGTTGAAAGATAACCATATCGATACGCAATTATAATTTCTGAAATTAATTCATTTAAATGAATATATATAATAGTTCAACATCTTAACGTTCAGACCGTAGTGGCACTTCGTATTTAAAGTACTATATTGTAATTAAATTAATTTTCATTAAATACTTTTCGAGTTATAAGACTTGCAAATTATAATATTGCCGGCATTTGCATAATTCAAAGTGCCTGATTGATGGCTAAAATCTATTGAATGTTCAGAATCATGATCTGAGTAACTGAGTAACATTTATCAGGATCAAGGCCATTGGAAATTAAATCTCTTATTTTTATTTTTATGTAGAAATGTAATTTTTAATATAAAAATGAAATTGGCCGTTTGGAATTGATCGGACATTTTGGATAATGCAAATGCCGGTGATGCTGTAACTTGCAAGTCTTATAACTCGAAAAATATTTAATGAAAGTTAACTTGATTATAATGTTTTGGAAAGTTCTCGAAATAATCTACAAAAATGTGCAATAAAAAGTAGGAGGTTCCATTTGAAAAATTGAAGGTAACTTTCATGTGACCTTCAAACAACTATTCAAAGTCAAACTAATGACACCATCTTATCCCCCTTAAGCTATACAATTGTCTGTAACATTTTTTTTCTAAGATCAAAAATAAAAAATTCAACATAAATAAAGAGTTAGTGAGCCCCAAGCTGATTGTTCTTGCTTATAATATTATTTAATGTGCAAAATAAAAATTATTAAGTATAAACATTTCAACCTTTTACGTTGGGTCATCCTCAATGTACTATTTATAACGTACAAAAATTAAAAATAAAAATAATCGAAAACCCGCATGTACTTATAATATAACAAAGATTTTATGCGCACGCAAGTTTAATTATCTTACTTCCATTAAGATAGTGTAACTCATAATTAATTCCTTATGTTCGTTGAGTTTTCGTATTATAAGGTAAAATATATACTTGATAAAATGTTCACACTATAAAATTGTATATAAGATAATTGAGTCTTCAACATTTTTGAAAGGACACAGATAATTCCATGATTATTATCAAAAAACATTATTAATTTGATGAATTTCTTCGTTGCAAAAGCATTTTACTGACTGAAATGATTTTAAAAAATGAAATTTAGATTAAACTATTATTAATAAATTAAATGAATTACTTTAGTTTATTAAAATTTGTCAATATATAAAGATTTTGCGTTTCGTGGATTTCCTTCGTCCATTCTTGGAATGCCAACGTTTCGTGAATCTTGCAATCCACTTCATTAGGAGGAACAGCCTGGTACTGAGCTGTTCCTCTGAGTCGTTCCTTTTTTATATTACGCTACTTGTTGGAGTGGTGGAAGGAAAGAAGAGAATTGTGGGTGAGGGAAATCTCAGTATCAGACTGTTCTTCGTCCTGATGAAGTGGATTGCAAGGTTCATGAAACGTTGGCATTCCAAGAATGAATCTGGACACGGAGGAAATCCGCGAAACGCAAAATATTTATATAGAAAGCCCCCGTGGATGTCTCAAAAATATTTGTCAATATAATATATTAGGTGTACAACTTTGCTTCCGCCGTTTTCCTATAGATGGCTTTAATGGTAAGTGGTGGTCGAAGTAAATAGATCATAGACATCATACAATAAACTTGGGCATCTGTCAATATAACCTCATAGAAACATTAATCGATTTGTGTCTGCATCATAAAGTTATTCTCTATTTAAAATGTCAGTTTACGAGCCAAATTCTCGTCATTTGCGGGAGGTTTTAATTTTTTGCTTCAATATGAAGAAATCTGCGGCTGAGGCTCATCGAATGCTCTCAAATATTTATGGTGAGGCCGCTATTAGTGAAAGAACATCGTGAGTGGTTTCAACGCTTCAAGAACGGTGATTTTGACGTCCAAGGTCATGCTCTGTATTTGGTGGGACCAGCTCGGCGTAATGTATTATGAACTGTTAAAACCGACTGAAACAATCACAGGCGATCGGTATCGAACGCAATTGATGCGTTTGAGCCGAGCATTGAAAGACAAACGGCCGCAATACAACGAGAGACACGATAAAGTTTGCAGCATGACAATGCTCGACCCCATGTTGCGAAAGTGGTCAAGACATACTTGGAAACGTTGAAA